AGAATGGTTTTCTTTATGTCTTATACGTTACGTAAAGATACAATGATGTGAGTAATCAAAAAAAAGAAAGAAGAACCAGAAGAAGAATGTGTATTGCTCGATCAAGTATAAATTTATTCTTTTGAAAAGCAGATTCTCAACTCCATACGCTTTATGCTAGGGGGTAATCGCGAATTTTTATTCACCAAAATCTAACTTTATTCTTAAAATCTGATTAAAACTCAAATATCTCAAAGTATTCAATTGTATCTCACAATATCTCAAAGTATTGGTGGATCTTCAGGATCATTCAGATCGCTCCCAGTTCTGGAAGTTGACCCTCAGGATGGGCCAGGGCATTGTCAAACCATAGTCTGGTCCATCCTGAGGATCCACCAAACCCGCTTCCAGAACTTGGAGCAGTTCTGATGATCCTGAGGATCCACTAAAGCCCACTTCCAGAACAACTTTTAGATGAGAACATCTCACAATATCCCCCAAAAATGTAAAGTTGCGTTCATATCTCTCGATATCTCTTGAATTCGTTGAAATCTCCTGAATTTGTTCATATTTCTATATATTTAAAAGCGCGGTTACCCCCTAGGCTTTATGTGTACGTAACGTATGCGTGTGTGTATTTGCTTTGAATGAATGCGAAAATTCCGATCCGACTATCGAACAATGTATGAAAAGATATAAAGCCATTCTTAAATTGCTAGCCGTAGTGTGCTGCCGCTGCTTATGCTTTTTTTCAGACAACATATTGAATTAACTGGTCAGTTGAGCTGATAGTACGTTAGCCAGCTAAATGGGCTAAAACAATAGACGTTATTGTTTTAATGATGAATCACTTCTCTCATTATAACAAAAACTTCTATTGTTTTAGCCCATTTAGCCAGCTAACGTACTGTCAGCTGAACTGACCAGTTAATTCAATATATTGTCTGCTTTTTTTCATCTCATGATGATGATGTTTCTTCCTTTATTCTATATTTTCACCTGTTTTGGATTGTGGTTCGTTCATATTTAAAGTGATGCTTATTGAAACTTATTCAGTATACATTCCGAAATGGGAAAAAAAGAGAATAGCACGAATAAGTACCTACAACACACTCATTTTTCTTCTTCTGCTTTTTTTTCTTGTTCTGAATTCATTTAATTTGAAGCAACCGCACGCTATATATACCAGGAGCAATGGGGAAAAAAATATAATCATCGTCACTCTCTCAATTATGTTGAACGAGAGTTATGCTGAGACTTTGATAGAAAATAATTTGTGTTTGTGGCGCATGTATAATTTATCGATGGTATTCATTCTTCGTTTTCATGGCCAATGAAAATAACAATATATTGCGAAAGAAGATCACAAATTTTGTGCGTAAATTTGGTGTCGTGAATCGCTTTCCATTCTTGAATAAGTCAATGTAAAAAAAACCAGAATACACAATAAATCTGTAGCTCGTATGTTTTGCACGGTTAATGCGCGCTCATGAATCAAATATATCCGTGCGAGAAAGGTGACCGAGAGAAGAAAAGAAACGTATGTCCACAGTGAACGTTCTGTTCCGTTGTAGCGTAGCATCAGATGAATGAAAAAAAAACGAAACCTTAGCGAATTGTATATGTAGTTTCATCGGGAGAAAAATTTGTTGGCATAGGCATACATTCTGGCATGTTTGCCAACCGCAAACTAAAATTTTATTGGAATAAATTGTTGAATATATGCAACAATTGGCATTTTCGCCCCTCTTTTTTCCGAATACAATCAACAAATAAAGCTGACAAAGCAAACAAAATCCCCCCATCACAGTGAGCTTATACCACAACTGTTGAACATTCGATGAGAATGTGTGAGTGTGCGCAGAACACATTTTCTGGCCTGGACAAATACCATTTATTTTTAGTATATTGTTCATTTTCGGTTTCATTTTCAACATACGCTTTCTCTCTCTCTCTCTCTCTCTCTCTCTCTATCGATATTATTTGTATTGTTAGATTGGGAGTTTATATAAACGGATTTTCTGTTTTATGTATACGCACAAGCACGCACGCACACACACACACATACATACATGTACGCTTGAACAATAATGACGAAAACAATAAACAAGCCAATCTCGTCAATAAACGAAAGAAATATGATGAAAGCGTGCTCCCATCGATAAATAAAATGCGTTTGGGATACTCCTGAAAATGCTAATAAAACATCTAAGGCAATTTTAAAAGCTCGCGCTTGTCGTACAAAATGAAATAAATACGTTTTCAATGTCACATCACAATATATTATTCGGGAAATGGGAATTTGACGCCACCTGTTGAGCTGAAAAACATATATATACCTATATGTATATATAAACTTATTATTTCGTGTTTAAGTGATGCATAATATAGATTCTCTTTTTTTAGACGGGGGAGGAGATGGTTTAGGTTGAAAATACAGAATGGACATTATTTTTGGTGATAATAGCAACTCAAACTCATTATCAAGTGTTGAAAACTGAATGAAAATAATAAATATTAATTGAATTGTTGTAAGCAAAACATTTGGGTTGATTCAACATCATTTTTATATACACACACATACAGTTGGATTTAATTTATTCATATCATCAAATGTAGATAAATAGATGATTCTCAAGAGTGCAAGGTTATCAAATCCTTGTTATGTCCCTGTCCCATTAAATTTAACATTGAACTTTGTGTGCATAACGTTGAATGAGCCATTGGATCATTAACTCTCATATTTATAATTTTTGTATATTTTATTGAAATGATTACATTTCGTTTGAAACATCATGAATACAATATCTGTCAAACATATAAGGCTCAACATTTTCAATGCGAAAAAAAAATTATTATTATTAATGAATGTCAGAGCACCAGAGAGGCACCACGGACACAGTGACACGCATAATTGAAAATAATTGCATTTTCTACTGACCCATTCGAGTATGCTTTAATATGCGTAAAACCAGTTTTTTATAAACACAGTGCCATAGACGAGGCGTTTCCATTTTTATGAAAATATCGTTATTCATAGCACAAGTGTATTATGAACAACCCTGTGTGAGTTTGCAGAAAAGAAAAGAAGGTTTTGAAAAGGAAAAGCTTAAAACAAACAATTCGACTTGGAAATCATCTCCTTAAGAATATAAATCGATTTAGAAACATATTTTTTAATTATTTTCAACAAACTTAATTTGATTTTATACCGAAAATTGTGTTGCGTATCGGTTGAAAGAAACGATACTTTTTTTTCTATTGAATATTTAATCTGATAATCTAACCAATAAAAACAACCAAAATATCGTCAATAGAAAAAAAGTATACATTTTCTGGGAGTGTGGAAGCCAAAGTGGCTTGTAATCGATTCGAATTTGTATTCGAAGAAGATATATTATTATTCACATCAATTTGATTTGAAAATATGTGCTCTCTTATAAATTTGTTTATTTTGTCATGGTTGGTAAGACATACAAAGTATATACCATAGGCGAATCTAGTATTTTTAAAAAAATGTAATTTGAAATGGATTTTCTATTGATCGACTAAACATAGGCTTTGCTAAAATGTACAGAGCAGTAGCACAGAACCGTATCGAAGGACGCACGATAAAATGAACGCTCAAAAAATTTGATTCGAACGTATTTCAAATTTTAAGATTAGAGAGATTTATGTATGGGTGGTGACGAAATTTTTTTAGGGGTGAAGACAAAAATTTTAAGGGGGCCCCTGGCAAAATTCATGGGGAGTCCGCACAAGAGTCCTCTAGCAAAAAGAGATTTTTGATTCCACTCCGAAAAAAAAAATCATTACGGGGTGAGAATTTGGCACAAAAAACTCGAGCAAATTGAATGATTTTCTCTCGGTAAAAAACCCTAGCACGTCGAACGAATCTTTTTGGAGGGTTCCGACAAATGTTTTAAGGGGCAGTTTATCCAAACCTTAGGAACCAAAAAGAAGAAATCATGCAATCGCCCTCAGAAAATCAGTTCTTGAATTCTAAGAACAATCGTCCGCTACGGTCCAAGTTCCACCAGTGTCTTTACAATTTTCGTGACTCAGGTCTTTTCTCTTCGCGTTTTTTCCGGATTCAGCATTTTTTTTTTGAATTCAATATTATGAGAATTATGCAATCACAGCAAAAAATATTTGTCATTCAATTGAATTTTTTGTACCTTAACCGAGTGCCGGTTTAAAGAAATTGAATGGCCAACCGAAGTCTACAGTTGACATTTTGTATTACAATTTTAATGCAAATATGTTCCAACTTTATGTTTTATAATTGAAATTAAACTCCATGAGCAAAATTCACAACCATAGAATGAAAAGGCATTAAAAGTTTTAGTATATTTATCATCGATGCAAACTATTCATCCCACATAATTTCAAGTATTCACTCAAAAACTTAGTTAAGTGGAAATACTTAGATTCTATGAACTTGGTTGATGTATATACTATTCGCAGTGCATGGTCACAGTAAAATGAGAGAGAAAAAACAGTCAGACGATGTAAAATATCGTTATGGGTACGATAAAAAGCAAAACATCAAATGAATTATTAAGTATAACTTCAAACGATGTTGTTTACAACTTATGCCGAGATACCGTCAACATATTTTTTTTTGCACTGAATTTATGGTCAATGGCAATATCGATCGCTTTTTTGTGTATGCAAAACACACTTCTAGTACATGCTGAAACACTTGTGACACTCTAAAAATCTATAAAGAAACCCATATTGAATAGTTAATTTTAGTTAAATAACAAAATGAAGATATCAACGATTTTTTTATGGCATTTCATATGCGATTTAATGCTATTCTTACAAGACACTGTGTGTGGTTTATAAACAACAGTTTTTTTACTTTTTTAGTGGCTTGAATTACCAACTGATTGGCCAATCCAAAAGTATAGATTAATTTCTTTATTTTTAAACTACACCTGACAGCAGCAATTTCCAAAATTCAAAATGTTTTTTTGTATTTAATGTGCATAGCAAGCATATTGTACGGTTTGTATTTACTGTGTGCTGTGTGCCACAAGCTAAAACAAAAAACGCGCTAAAAACAGAAAAAGAAATAGAAGGAGAGAGAGAGAGTTTGAATGTGCTACACACTTCATTTCCCCTTCGAAACGAGATGTGTGACAATACTAATTTAGAATTATGTGGATTTTGTATTCGATCATTCGATTCGACGACAATGTTTGAAATGATAAAAACCCTATTTTTAATTTTCCTTCGGATTTTCTTGAGCGATTTCTCTTCAGATTTTGTTAATGGTAATCTGGTCGGAATGGGATAACCTTCGGCGATTAATGTTCGCTTCTCTTCTTCGGTTAATTCAAGTTGACCCGTTGACCCTTTCTGTGTGTTAAAAAAGAAGAAGAATATAAATATGTCGATTAATCACAAATGAATAATGCCATAAATGCATTTGACCAAAGCAACGATAATATACCAGTTGGTTACTGATTAGCGGTGTATGAATTGGTTGACGTGAGTTAGATGTGCTATAAGCACGTGAACTGTTTGGTGATACACTGTTACCGGATTGACTAATATTTTTCGTTGTAATGGTTTGTTGTTGCGACGCTTGCGCCTGTGAACTGTTCGGAGAATATGAGGATAGACTTGAGGCTGGTGATGAAGGTATTGTGTGTATTTCAGCACTTTGATTATCTTCCGAGTCATCACTCGAAAGTGATGATGGCGGTGTTGGCGGCAAACCAAATCCTATAAAGAAATACATGGAAGATTTGAAAAATTAGAATTCATTTAAAAAAATTCAAAGGCGGATCTTGTGTTTTTTTTACCTTGTGTTTGTTGGCCATCCATTCGAATGGTCATTGTTGGTACAACAATCCGTTGTTGGGTGCCATTTAAGATGATTTGCTGATTTTTCAATAGACTGTGTGAGGCTGGCGACAATTGCAACGAACCATTCTGAAAACGGCGAACAAAGATAATTTGAGTATAAATGTTCATATAACATATTTAATCAAACAAACCTTATTATGTTCGAATACAAGATCGGCATTCGTGTATGTTGCAACATTGGCCAAATTTACGTTAATCATGCCAAATTGTGATTTCACAGCATTTTGTGGTGTTGATTGTGTGACAAGAATGCTTTCGCTTGAAGAGGTTGATGCATTTGGACTGGGTGGGCAACTTGAACCGGGCGATAATGGTTCCTCTTTAATCGTTGAATCGTCAACTGTATCAGTTTCAAAACAATCAACTGCGATCGCATTTCCAATTCCACCGCGATTGTTTATCAGTTTTGGAGAGGTAAATGCCAATCGTGCTTGAAGCTCTTCACTGCTATTGGTCTCAGTGTTAAAATTAATCATGTTACTGCTGCTGGTTGATAAGATAAAGTTTGCATCGTTGCCTTGTTGTTTGCTGCTCGACGGAAAAATTAATGCGTTCTTAATACCTTTCAAAGATGAATTCACCTTATTGTGATTGACAAGATTGATGTCGTTGTTGTTGATGTGTTTTATTGCGGACGTTTTGGTCGATAGTATATTTGAATTTATCGTAATTTCATAATCGTCATCCATTTCTAATCGTAACAAATAATTTTTAAATAATTGGTCAATGACTCTTTGTTTGGGCATTTTTCTTGAAACATAACATAATTTAAAATTTGTTGAATTTAATTTGACCATTGGATTACCATCGATCTTATTCTGGAGACTACGCGGGGAATCTGGAATTGAGTCGCCATTTGAATTGAGGCTGTATGAATGCTCAGTTTTAATTGGTTGACAACCAAATAATGCATCAGACTCATATAAAAACAAATGTCGGTGTACACGTCCATTTAACGTTAAAGATAAGCGTCAAGTTATTTTTTGTTAAAAAATTGTTGTCGAATAAAAAACACACGATGTAAATAATATTTTAGGAGCGTGGCGGTTTAAAAATTCTGTTCGAACAAAAATCAGTTGATTTGAGTGCTGTTGCATTGACATATAGTCTATAGCGCTTGCTCTTTTCTAACGCAGTGAGCGTCGTTCAACGTCATACGCTGTCCTTGTCATTCTTCCACTCTTTTGGTTAAACCAGAAAGGAGCAAGCGCTATAGACTACATGTCAATGCAACAGCACTCAAATCAACTGATTTTTGTTCTAAAATAATTTTTAAGCCGTCACGCTCTTAAAATATTATTTACAACGTGTTTTTTTTATTCGACAACAATTTTTTAACAAAAAATAACGTGACGCTTTTCTTTAACGTTAAATGGACGTGTACACCGTCATTTGTTTTTATATGAGAGATATTAGTTTATCTTGATAAATTACATGATTGGTTTTGATTGATTCACGATCAAAAATCGGCCAATCCATCTCCGCATCATCGGTTGAGATATTCAAAGCCTCCTGTATTGCCTAACCACAAAAAAAATTGAAAGAGGGGAGAGAGAAAAGAAGTGAATCAGAAAAATGTGTGAATAATATTTTAATTTTAAAAAAATCATTTAAAATAATTGTGAAATTGTCTGATTGCCAAATTGTCTGTCGCTGCAAAATGTTAAATCATTCCGATTGGCAATTAATTGAAAATATAAATAATTGTACGCAACTCATGCATCTGTGTTGACACCATGATCACCTTTATTTTATCGCAACACGGCTTGATCACAATAGACGCTTTTGTCGGTTCATTTATAGCTAAACGATTTAAAAGAAATTAATTGTAAACATTTTGAAGTCTATAGAATCTGTGTAGAGAAATCTGTGATAACCCAAGAAACCGAAAATATTTTTGCTGCATCTGTTCAAAAGCATGATTTTATTGCGAAAGAGAATTGGCTGTATTTCACAAAATATTTCCACTGACAAGAATGAGATCGCGTTGAGACTCTTTTTTCCATGCTTTCCTTGTTTGATCGGTTGAGAAAGTTGATATTGTTGAAATGAAATAAACTATTCATTCACTAATGAGCACTTAAATAA